CAGCACCATTTCTTTGATGAGACTATTCTTTCCCCTTCGAATAGCCTTGGCACCCTTGTCAAAAATCAGCAGACCATAAATGTGAGAGTTTATTTCTAGGCTCTTGATTCTATTCTATTGGTCTACATGTCTATCCTTATGCCAGGACTACATGGTTTTGATTACAGTAGCTTTGCAAACAGTTTTGAAACTGAGAATTATGAGTCATCTAAATTTGTTCTTCAAGGTCGTTTTCCCTTTTTGAGGTTCCTTGAAATTCCACGCAAATTTTAGGATGAGTTTTTAAACTTCTGAGGGAAAAAACACATCATTGGGAATTTGGCAAACTGAATCCATAGATTGCTTTAGGTAGTACTGACATTTGACATTTTAACAATATTGTCTTCTAATTCATGAACACAAATGTCTTCTACCTATTTAGTTATTCTTCAGCAATGTTTTGGAATTTTCAGAATAAAGTCTTACACCTACTTGGTTAAATTTATTTAAGTATTTTATTCTTTTTGATGTTATTGTAAATGGAATTATTTTCTTAATTTCCTTTGCATATTTTTCATTGCTAATGTGCAGAAATGCAACTGATCTTTATGTGTAAATTCTGTATCCTGCAACTTCGCTGAATTTCTTTATTCGCTCTAACAGTTTTTTTGTGAATTATTTAGGGTTTTCTATACACGATTGTTATATGTGAATAGAGACAGTCTTGCTTCTTCCTTTCCAATTTGGATGCCTTGTGTTTCTTTTTCTTCCCTAAATGCTCTGGCTAGAACTTGAATACAAGTGTGAAAGCAGGCATTCACGTCTTATTTCTGACTTTAGTAAAAAAGCTTTCACTCTTTCACCTATTAGTATTGTTAGATATGGGTTTTTCATATATGGCCTTTACCATGTTGTGGAAGTTCCTTCTATTCTTAGTTTATTAAGTGTTTTTTTTAAACATGAAAAAGTGCTAGACTGGGTCAAATACTTTTTCTACATCAATTGTGATAGTCATGTGGAGTTACTCATCTTCATTCCATTGATGTGATGCTTTACACTGATTGTATTTTATATGACAAACCTTGTTGCATTCCTGAGGTAAATCTCACTTGGTCATGGTGTATAATCATTTTGATATGCTGTCGATTCATTTTGCCAGTATTTTATTAAATATTTCTTCATCTATATTCATGAGGTATATTAGTCTACAATTATCTTTTCTTCAGTGTCTTTGGTTTCAGTATCAGAGTCATGTTGACTTCACCGAATGAGTTAGAAAGTGTTCCCTCCTGTTCATCTTTTCAGAACTGTTTTGAGAACTGATGTTAATTCTTTAAATGTTTGGTGGAATTCAGCAGTTTAACTGCCTTGTCCAGACTGTTCTTTGTTAGGGGGCTTTTTTTTTTAATTGCAGATTTGATCTTATTTGCTATAGGTCTATTCAGATTTTCTCTTTCTTCTCGAGTCAGTTTTGTTTATTAGTAGGGATTTGTTTATTTCAACTAGATTATCTAATTTGTTGGCATACAGTTATTCCAGTATTGTTTTATAATCCTTTTTATTTTTATAAAATTATAATAATGTCCTCTTTTTTATTTCTGGCTTTAGTAATTTTGAGATTTCTCTATTTTTTTCTTAGTCAGTCTAGCTAAAGTTTTGTTAATTGTGTTGATTTTTTTCAAAGAAAAAAATTTGGTTTTGCTGACTCCCTCTCTTGTTCTTCCACTCTGTTTCACTTTTGTCTGCTCTCATTCTTACTATATTCTTCCTTCTGCTAGCTGGTGTTAGATTGGGCTTCTTTTCCTACTTCCTTGAGGTGTAGAGATAGATTACTGATTTGAGATTCTTCTTCTTTTTTAATGGAGGCATTTACTGCTATCAACTTTCTTCTGAACACTGCTTCACTACCTCCCATGACTTTTGGTATGTTGTGCTTCATTTTAATTCATTTCTAAGCATTTCCAATTTCCCTTGTGATTTCCCCTTTGATCCATTGGTTAAGACTGTGTTTTAATTTCCACATAGTATGAAGCCCTCTCTTTGTTTTATAACTGGCAGAAAATTACAAAATATCTGTAGCAAGAAATGTAAAGATACCTGTAGTGGAAAAGAAAGGGCCGCAACTAGAAATAATAAAATACACAGAAGAAACAATCTCACTGGCAAAGGCAAATATATAGTAAAGACATATATAATGTATAATGACAGATGGTAACAAAACTTACCACTGTGATCATTTTGTAATGTATAAAAATATTGAAATCACTATGTTGTACACCTGAAACTAGTATAATATTGTAAGTCAGTTGTACTTCAATAACAAATAAGCAAATGACTGAATAGCTTCATAAGTTTTTTAATTAAAAAATAACAATAAAGCTGTCAGATCAAAAAAATAGTTCAAAAAAATAGTTCAGTGATATCTTCCTGTCCTTTTGAAAGTTACTGTGTTACTGCAAATTAATTATCTTCTCAATAGCCCTCCTTCCCAAAGTCTGGTATAAATTCTGCTAAATTCCAAAATGCTGAGTACGTGTGATTTTATTTTCTTTTTGGACATTAAAGAAGAGTTTTGCATCAGGCAGAGTGGATATGGTGCAAATCAGAGTTAGCATATGAAGGCAGAGAATCCTGAAGGCCAGTGTATCCCTGGCAATGTAAACATCTCTGGAATTAGTAGAGATTTGAAAGACCCTAGGCTTTCCAAAGTAATGCAACTGGTGAAAGTTTGAGACAGTTTTACTACATCTTTCCTATTAAATCAGGAAAATCCCGTATGCTGATATTTGAGTTAAACAATAAAGCTATTTTAATTCTACTGAAGAAAACATTTAGAATGGTATATAACATGTTTCCAGATGTTTTCTTTAGTTAGTAGTAATGCTGCTGGTTATTTCCTTTCTTCTCTTTGTTTCTGTATTTCCAGATTCTTGATAATAAGGCACATGTTACACAATATAACTATTTTTAAATACTGTTTTTAATTGACATAAAAGGGAAAATAAAGTAAAAATCTTTCAAACATACTTCCTGGCTGACCCATTTAAATAATCAAATAATTTGCTCTACTAACTTCTCAACTCAATAGAGCTTGGTGAGTAGTTATCCAGAAATTTATTATACTTAAGTTCTTTTATAAGTAATACATTAAAACAATCTGTACTTTTGAAAGTCTCACTGGACTTTGAGGTCCTTAGATTTAACAATAAGTACTGATTAGTGATTTCTTCCTCAATAAGAAACATCATGTTCTTTATTCATCCCATCTTGCTCATGGGAACACCTACCATTTAACCCTAAGAGGATGTGGAAAAGAAGACTCTGCTTTGTGGGATCAATATAGCAGATTTTCCAGGCTTATAGACTTCTGGCAGCAGGGGACATAATAGACATACACATACACATGTGCACACACACATGCAAGCACTCACACGCTGCTGAAGCGGGAGTAGAGACACACCATTTTTTCCCCAAGATGCGCTCTTAATGTTATCTGTGGGATAAAGGAATGTGAGTCTTCTAATCAAGTAGTCAGTGAGGAAGACAGTGCAGATTAGATATAGAATGTTCTCTCCATTGCACAGGCAATACTTTTTGTTAATATAAACTCTTTCATCTTCAAAACTCAAAGATCTATTTTTCAGCCCCACCGCCTCTATATTTCTCTCCCTATCTAGAATAGAATCCATAATTTGCTTCAATAACTCTCTAGCCAATAACTAGGACTCTTTCGTTCCTCTTCTTTTAGTCATTTAAGTCCTTGGGCACACCACAAACCTGGATTAACCCAACCATCTGTTTGTATATTTCTATATTTATATAGACAACTGTTGCTGGTGGCATTATACAAAAGAACACATTATTACTATTATAAATTTATGGTGATCAATCTCAACTAGTTCGTTTACACTGCCTAGAGGCTATTGTGTTGAACTGTTTACAGCCAGAGGCTGAGTTAGATATCATTAAGCTAATGGTGGTAGATAGTATAAGCCCCAAAAGCTTATTCCATAGATGGAACTAGTGTCCTAGTTGGGGTCTAAAAAGAACTGCCATGATTCAAAAGGATTTCTGGACTGGTCTTGACATGAAAATGACTGAAAGCAATTCAAAAGAAAATCTGTTAATCATCCAGTAATCTTTCAAAAGAGTTATAATACCATAGAAATCAAAGCCTGGGTATCAAAATCATTCACACAGTTTCCTAAACATGCACTAATAGGAAACGTGTTGTTAAAGTAGAAGAATCTCCAGAATTCTCTCCCAATCTCCTCCAAGATATGTCCACGAAGATCAATGGACAGGGAAGTCTTCCCAGAGAGCAGAACAGAAAGAATATAAATGGACTAAAGAATTCTGTACACTGGTAGGAAAGAAACCTTCGCTATTATGGTCCAACATTGCTTTATGCAATGTTATCTGTCTTTTCTCTCCTTTTTTGCTGTTTCTAAATGAAAATTTTATTGTAGTCATCCTATATTCCTCCATCATCGTGTATTGCCTGTCTGTGAGTAAATTAAATTTATCTAGGATGAGGGAATAAAAATCAACTACCATCTATACTGCCTGAAGTGATAGACACAACACCCAGAGACCTAGACTCAGCTGAATGCAATAAATGGAATAAGCTTCATTTATTTTATTACCTTATTCATTCTTGCAAGTGAGTACATGTTTACCTTGGCCTCACCGGGCAGACAGCCAAAGCAGAGAAAGAACAGATTCTACCCACCAGCAGTCTACAACCTACAGAACGGCAGCAGCTGTGATGGCATGCCAACCTACAGGATGGCATCAAATCAACATCTCTGAATTCTATGTGGGGGTAAAGTGGGTAACCAAATTTCCTGTGCCTGCCCACACGATACAAAGTCCACAGTTCAGAATTTGGGGGGCACACTTTGTATCATACCATCTGTTCTGGTTCAGTGCATAAGAATCCAAGTCTCTGAAGAAGGTGACATAGTGTGCAATTCACTTTACAAGAGGTTTGCCTGCCACATCCTCTGGAAAGCCTGGCCATGAGGCTTCTCCTCATCATTGCAATTCTGCTGTTCCAGAAGTTCACAGGTAATCCAGAGATTTCCCGGGGCTCACTCAAATCAACAAGGGGTGGATATTTTCAAGAACCCAAGGGAATTTTATAATTCACAGTAGGAAGAGATAGGGTCCTAGGAATAGCTGAAGTCTATGCAATATCATCAGAAATTTTCTCTTCCTGAAGCCTTCTACCATGGTACTATTCTTAAAAAGGAGTGCTCATAAAGCTGAAAAGAGGTCATAATTTCCTCTGGGAAGGATGCATGACAGAAAGACATGAGCCAGATATCTGGGAATGCCCTTATTTCTTTGGATATAGTTTGTACTCTGGCATCAAGCCATATTTTCTTCCACTCCGATATTATATATATGTAATATATATATATTATGTATATATATATATATTTATTTAAATCTATTATACTACACTGTGTGAATAGTGGAAGAAGAACAAACTTTGGATTCAGGTTTGAGAAGCATGCCTTCAGTGTGTATTAGTTTGTCAACTTTGGATAAAAGGTGAAGACTCCTTGAGCCTCAGTTTCCTCGTTTGTGGAGATAATGACACCTAGCTCACAGGGGCAGGGGGTTATTAAATGATAGAACACTTGTGAAATATCTAACATAGGGCTTTGCAACATACAAAGGAACTGAAAAATTAGCTTTCTTTTCTCTTTCAAAACCAGATCTCTTATATTTATCCCTTGTTATAGGAATAATGACAGTTTGTCCTTAACCCCTTAAAGTCTTAAGAACCTGGTGTTGGAGGCAGCATCTTTGTTCCCAGTCTTCATCCTCTGGGGTTTACTCCAGAGGATGGTACAAGCCCTGAAGCCAAAATTTGAACATCCTAGCTCTTAGATCATTGAAAATATTTAGGATCACTGAAGGAAAGAATAATATCAAGGTGAAAAGAGGTCTGGAGGAATTCTTGCCTCTGGAGGTAGAAAGAGAATGAGGAGTCATAGAGGACAAAACAAGTCCAAGATTATTATGATGACATAGCAGCTAAAGGAAGATATTCATTGGCAAAAATGTACAATAGTGAGAAGTAATATGAGAGGAAGAATGTTGGGGGGGGGAAATATCGACTGGATCAAAAAAAAGTCATCCTTGACCATGGTAGCAAGTATGAACCCAAGAGCAGAGTTCCATTCAGACATAAACACATAGTGACAAATTATTGCTTTCTGGGCAGTAGTTAAGAAAGTAGTACCCTGGAAGCATTCAAACAGACGCAGATTTATTGAGTTTCTCAGATGGAACGTAGTTCTATAGCCTGAAATCCAGGATTCAGCGCCTTTATTTTCCCAAATAAGACCTGTGCTCTTGGTGAAGTCCATCAGATGTTGGATGGAAGCCCGAATACTTAGAAGAACAAAATAAGAGTGATCAGTTAAACATAAACACTGAGGTTTACCCTCCTGGAGAATTTTCTGTGGGATATTACTGATACACGCTTTGCGAATCTCCCTACAAACATCCTTTGCCTTCCCCATGACCAAAGTTGCCTTTCAGTCTCAAACACTGACCTTGACCTATTGTTCTTTATGTGCACAGTAACTGACCAACTGAAGAAATGCTGGGGTCAATATATACAAGGATACTGCAAGAAAATATGCAAAACAACAGAAATACGTGAAGTGCTATGTGAAAATGGGAGATATTGTTGCCTCGATATCATGAAACTAGAAGAACGTAAAAAAGTTACAAAACCAACTCGTCCAAAGCCAATGACATATGCGGTCACTTTACCTCAAGATTATTATGGAGATGAACACAATTATGCAAACCCCAAGAAAAAGTCTACATAAAATCAAGCACAACTTTCTGTTAGTCTATTTCTCAACCTATTCTGATAAACTAAAGTGAAGAAGTCCACATCTTCTCCCTTCTGGTTCCTAGATCCCCAGAATGACCTTAAAGGGGATTCCAATAAAGCTCATTGCCAGTTTTCTGATTCATTTGTTCTTTAATCAGAGATCGAACACTCAATATATCAAATGATGAATTGATAAGGACAACTCAGAACCTCCCCCTTGAAAAGAAGATATAACTAGTACCCTGAAAAAAAACTATAACATGGAAGACTGGATGAAGAAACTCAGGAAAGTAGACATGTAATTCAGGAGAGGGAAAGATGAAGCTGTGTATTCAGAAAAATTTGTGAGTGAATCTAGGATTAAAGTGGTGCCTTGTGAAATGTGTAGGATTTCAACAGGTGTTAGCAGAGAAGGCAATTTGAATGAACAGAATAAAATCAACAAATGGAAGGAAATTAGAAAACACAGGACATTTTAGGAGACTACAGATGTACTTTGTTTGGCGTAAGAATAGAGTACCCAAAGTTAAACTATGGGGAAGTCTAATTTCTTTAGTTCTAAATGTAAGACCAGATACTATAAAACTCCTAAGGAAAACTCAGGCAGAACACTCTTTGACATAAATCACAGCAATAGTTTTTGAACCAGCTCCTAGAGTAATGGAAATAAAAGCAAAAATAAACAAATGGATCTATTAAAAGCTTTTGCACAGCCAAGGATACCAGCAACAAAATGAACAGAAAACCTGTAGAATGGGAGAAAATATTTGCAAATGATGCAACTGACAAGGGACTAATTTCCAAAATATACAAACAGCTCGTACAGCTTAATGTCAAACAACAAGCAACCCAATAAAAAAATGAGCAGAAGACCTAAATAGACATCTCTCCAAAGAAGACATTCAGATGGCCAACAAGCGTATGGAAAAAATGCTCAACATCACTAATTGTTAGAGAAATGAAAATCAAAATTACAATGAAAAAGATTAACTTCCAAATTGAAAAAAAAATTACAATGAGGTATCACCTCACACCAGTCAGAATGGCCATGATTTAAAAGTCCACAAATGATAAATGCTGGAGAGGGTGTGGAGAAAAAGGAACTCTCCCACACTGTTGATGGGAATATAAATTAGTGCAGCCACTATGGAGGACAGTATGGAGTTTCTCTAAAAAACTAAAAATAAACTTATCATATGACCCAGCAATCCTACTCTGGGCATATATACAGAGAAAAATACAATTCGAAAAAACATACATCTCAATGTTCACAGCAGCACTATTTACAACAGCCAAGATATGGAGGCAACCTAAATGTCCATCAACAGAAAACTGGATAAAGAAGTTGTGGTATATATATACAGCAGAATACTACTCAGACATAAAAAAAGAATAAAATAATGCCATTTGCAGCAGCATGGATGGGCCTGGAGATTGTCATTCTAAGTGAAGTAAGCCAGAAAGAGAAAGAAAAATACCATATGATCTCACTTATATGTGGAAAAAAATAAAGTATGCATCGCGGTAATTTAATAGATGTATACATTATGAAAAGAAGACTCTCCATTTGTTAATTAACACATCCATCACCACAAGTTTGTTTGTCTGTCTGTTTTGTGAGAACACCTAAGTTCTACTCTCAGCAAACTTCGGTTATACAATCCAGTGTTGTCAACTATAGTCACCATATTTTTAACATTAGATCCCTAGACCTTATTTATCTGAATAGCTAAAAGTTTGTAAATTTCACACTATTAAAACAAACAGACTATGCAATGCTTTTAAGAATTCTAAAAGTAATGCTTGTCTAATAGTGTCAAGTGGATGCTCAAATTGCTACTAAAAAAAAGGAAACGGAGCATGCATGTTAAATGAGCTTCAAAGGATGTATTGGAATTATCACTAGCTGTCATGACTGCCCATTAGATCTGCCCCAATAAATGTATGAAAACATTCAAATGTCTTGTCTTCTAATCAATTCTCAGTTGTTAGCAAAATCATCTGTATCCATTCCCACACCCACAAAGTTGGAACATTCAGATCTGCTTAGACCTAAGAAACTTCATTAAAAAGAGGAGTAATACCTGAAATGCTTTGAAATATTACCTCACATAGAAAATGGAGGGGCTAACAGCTACCTCTACCAAATGTTCACTTCATCTTTGCATCATCCAGGCGTGGATAACGCCTGGATAACGCTAGGATAACGCCTGGAACATGGTAACTATTCATTTATGTTTGAAGTATTCAAAATAATAAGTGAATACATTAATAAGTAAATCCAGGGGAAAGCATAAGACTTTATTATATAGAGAATCTAGTTCACAAAAGTAGTAGATAAATCTCTTGCCTCTGCCTATTGGATTAGGTGGCACTTTTGATTTAGGAAGAGCGGAGACCGGTAGACCAAGCACTTGGTTTACGGTGTAACTGTGTCAAGTGTGACAGTGGGTAAAATGATATAGTCCAACTTCAAATCAGGCTTCGAAGGAGGTTCAGGTAACTTTGCAGCTTCTTGGGCTTTTCTGTTGTCCGCTTCGTAAACACAACATAATTTTCTATTTGAACATGCTACTTCAAATACTTCCCCCAGATCGCATTTCTTCTTGCAGTAGCCTGCTACATTATTAAAGCATTTTCTGGGTCGTGCTGCATCTGTGCGCAGGAAACAGCAATGCACCAGATTAGTTCCTGAGGCAGAGCAGAAGGGTCACATGGTTCCCCACAAGCTATGGCCTCCTATTGTCCCAAAGTGAATCTTATGCTGATAGAAAATTCAAAGCCTCCTCCCTGAAAATCATCCCAAATGCAGGACTTCCAAAACCCCAGGTTCCCAGTCAATAGCAAAGTCATCACTCCATCAGCCTACCCCAGTCCAGTGTCCTCAGAGAGTACCAACTTGTCATCATGGCACAATTCAGAGCCAAATTAACTTTTTAAAGAACATCACAGATAAAACTTTTTAAGTGAACAGTGTAATTGGGTTTCACATTCACTGACAAGGTCAGCAGAGCTCTCCCTTTGCCAATACCTCATGGGTCTCATCATTTATTGCTGTTGAAAACTTTGCTCATTCAGCCTCTGTGACTTCTTCATAACCTAGCTTCGCCTATTCTTCTCCCGACTCTCTCTCCCTCTCCCTCCCTCCCTCTCTCCTCCTTTTGATCTCAGATAAATGTGCTATCTGGGAACAAACTCAATTCCATGCATATCTGTCTTCCAGAGATCCAAACTGTTGCCTTTTCAGAGTACTGCATTAAGGTCCTCAATCTCCTGTTTCCAATTCTTCAGTTGCCCTTGTACACAAATGTGGACAAACCTACAGAATAAAGATGAAGAACAAAGACATGGTTCTCCCTACTGTAAATTCCAGAACCAAGGAGCATCTCTGAAGGTTAAAAGGTATTTTTAGGGCCACAAAAAGACAACATGCCTTCTATAGTAGCAAGGAAGAAGGGAACTCTCACTGACAGAGCTCCTACTATGAACTTGGTGTTTCACTTTTGTAAACTCATGTCATCCTCACATGAAATACAATCATTAAGAAACTGAGTTATTATATTCACTTGACAGATGAGAAAACTGATTTTCAAAGGGCATACTTAACTCATTCCATACGACTAGCCAGTGATGAAGTCATATTTTAACCTAACATCTATATGTCTCCAAAGCTTGTCCTGTTCTCATTACTGTTGTAATATAGGCTGAAAAATGAATTTAAATGGAAAAAGAGATGGCCAGGTTCATGGGTGAAAACTATATTCAACATTATAAATATAAAACTAGATGATGGGTTCATTCCTACCTTGGGAGAGGAGCTGCAACGCCCTGATTTCTCACCTCCCTCCATGCTGTCTTCTAAGACAGAGACTCAAGTCAGGCACCCAAACAGTAGGTAATTTTGATGATGCTGGCAAGGTATTAACAATCTTGAAAGCCCTGACCCCACTCCTATGAATAGTAATATTTTCTAGAATTTCATGGTACATTTGGACAAGTTACCTTTGGATACCTCAAACAGCAGAATAATGAGAACCAGAAACAGCTTCATGTTTACAGACTTCCCAAGACAAACAGGCAGCAGGATTCTTTGTCCAGTGATCTGTGTCAAAGTCACACGGTCTTTGAAGATGAGACAGAGTTTTGAGAGCTATCAGAGTTCTGAGCTCTCATTTTAACCCATGTGGAAAGACAGGATATCCAAGTCCACCCCACTTTCATTCCCAAATATGGACTTCATGGTCACAGAATGTCTCACCACCTCCTACTTACTCCTCTTTCCTCAAGATAAATGAGCTCTCAGAGAGCAGGAACAATCATTCCTCCACCTGGGCCATCAGCCCACTTGGGTCACATGTTCTGGTTTGTATGGGACAGTCCTAGGTTCCAATGTCCCACTCAGCTATTGCCACCTTTCACTCACAAAGGTAATCCATTTGGAAGATTAACTGAATCATTAGCTAATCAAGGTAGACACATAAGCATATCCAATAATAATTTTTTTAATGTGTGAAACTTCCCAAAAAGTTCTCTAAGAATAAGATTGCTTTTAGGTTTGACTAGATACATTGATATGATTTCAGAGTTTCCCATAGTTTTACCCATCCAGTAAAGCTCAATTTCACAAGTAAAAATCTTTCAAAGGATCAAATATCTTTAGAACAGTGTTCAATTTGTTATGAACTGGTCCCCACTCACCTCCACTGGGTTATTTTATGGAACCACTTATATTTCTGCCAAATTAGTGTGAGCACCCCTACCCAAATTATTATTTCCATAATGGTCTTTTTGCACATTTAAATCCCTCTTTACCAATTATATTATAGTCCCCTATCCCAATTACCTAATCAGCCCTGTTGAGCTCCTAATTTTCCTTCAAAACCAAGTTCAATCATCTCCACATCTGTGAAAGCTTCCCTGACCCAACTTAACAGAGCTGCAAACTCCCTTCTTTGTGTCACCACTGTACCTTGTATGTATCTTTTGTTGGTATCTTTGTTGTATCTTTTGTTGGTGGTCACACCATGTCATGTTCCAATCATTTGCAATAATCTGTGAGTCCCTCAAAGGCAGGCCACTGGTCCAACTCAATTTGGAGTTCTTAATGCACACCACAAAACTCGCGTTATAGTCTCAATATATAATTATGGAATGATTTCAAAGTACTGAACAAATTATTGCTAAATAAAATACATTCAAGACAGTAGTGAAGTTAATTAAGACATTTCCTAAAGAATTTTGTTTACCTTGTTTTATAATTTGTGGACACTAGAACCTTGAATTTATAGTAATTAGGGCCCATCCAAGTATCTTTCTGTGACAGCACCTGGAGAAAAGCCTGTATTGAGAGAATTCACATTTATGATTTCCACAGATGACATTACTATTTCCTGAAGTAACACTGCTTGCCTACTTCAACAGACAGTCTGTTTGTCTGTTCATCTACATCAACTCTCTAATACCAGGGAGCCTTTATGCAATCTTGGCTAGGCGCAAGAAGCCCACAGACTTCTCACTTTCAAAGCCCTTTGTGGCCACATAATAGATTTTCCCTTTGAGTAGGATGGAACGGGTAATGAAATGTTGCTTTTTAGTCATGATCAGTGTTTAAAAACCACCTATCAACATTTGTTACTGCACTTCCCACTGTGACCCATAGCAGTACAAACTGCTTTTAATATCTTACTTATAAATTAACTTTAAAAGTGTCTCATTTCTTAGAAATATTCTCTGAATTCTACTTAAGATGTTGTCTTTCCAAACTGTTGGACAGGTGAATCCAGGCAAGAAACAGGATTACTAATTCCCCCTTACAAAGACTGAGGGAGTCAGGCAAGATTCTTCCATTGTTCTTTATTTAGGGATGAGAGGAGGTTTAATTAACATTTCACGCTAGAAAAATTAGACACACAGGTAAACAAAAGGGAGAAAACAGAAATCACTCATAATCTCACCTCTCTGTGAACACTCTGGTGTTTAGTCTTGGGTACTGTAAATAGTGCTGCTATAAACATTGGGGTACATGTGTCTTTTCAGAATCGGGTTTTCTCTGGATTCATGCCCAAGAGTGGGATTGTTGGATCATATGGTAACTATATTTTTCATTTTTTAAGGCATCTCCATATTATTCTCCATAGTGGCTGCACCAGTTTACATTCCCAACTCTGTAGGAGGGTTCCTTTTTCTCCACACCTCTCCAGCATTTATTGTTTTGATGATGGCCATTCTGACCACTGTGAGATGATACCTCATTGTAGTTTTGATTTGCATTTCTCGAATAACTAGTGATGAACATCTTTTCATGTGCCTGTTGACCATCTGTATAATTTCTTTGGAGAAAGCTGACATCTTGCCTTTATTTTATTTTTTTCACACTACGATCGTTAATTTTATTTGTTTAAGGACTCATATTGCAAGCATTAAATCAAGTACAGGCTTTGATTCTGTGAACCCAGATTCACAGATTTAGGGAGATAAAGGCAAACTGTGCCCCATGTACATGGATGAAAACTAAAGGCTCATGGTTAATCACACTGTAGTTTTAAAGATTCTACAGCCTAGAACTAGAAGCCAGTAGTCACAGGTCCTTTAGATCCTTCTGGATGTCCCACAGGGTGTCTGCACTTTTCTTGAGTTGGGCGACCTCCTCATCTTTAACTTCTGGTTGATAACACTGGTTAATCCCCGAGCATTCAGGATACACGGAAGGCTCAGGAAGACCTCATTCTCAATGCCATACATCCCCTTCACCATCATTGATACTGGGTAAATCCTGGAGAGATTTTTCAACATGGATTCAATGAGATCAGCCACACTTAGTCCAACAGCCCAGTTGGTGTGTCCCTTCAGCCTGATGATTTCATAGGCACTCTCTATCACCAACGTATGCACTTCCTTACAATTTTCACTGTCATTGTCTATTCCCACTTCTGGATTCAGTTCCTGGAGAGAAACACCTGCCACATTCACCCCACTCCACACAGCCACGCTTGAGTCACCATGTTCTCCCAAAATCCATCTGCGGCATCTGCTGGGATGAATACCAAGTTTTTCCACCATTAGATAGTGGAATCTAGCAGAATCCAGATTACACCCACTTCCAATCACATGGTGCTTGGGTAATCCACTTAGTTTCCAGGTAAGGTGTGAAAATATCCACTGGGTTAGAAACCACAATTATGATACAATCAGGACTATACTTGACTATCTGAGGAATGATGAACTTAAAGACATTAAGGTTCCTCTGCACCAGACTGAGGTGATTCTTCCCCTCTTACTGGCGAACTCCTGCAGTCACCACCACAATCTTGGAATTGGTGGTCACAGAGTAATCTTTATCTGCCACAATTTTGGGTGTCTGAAGAAACAAACTTCCATGCTGCAGATCCACCATTTCACTTTTGAGTTTATCTTTCAAAACATCCACAAGAGCAAGCTTGTCAGCCAGAGACTTTCCCAGAATGCTGATGGCACATGCCATACCAACTTGTCCAACACCCTCTACAGTGATCTTATTGTTGGGGACCATTGCTTCTTCTTCTGCAACTGGTGCAATCAGTTTTTCCTTAAGAGTTGCCATTGTGCAAAGGGGAGAGAAAGTTCTCAACATGGCTTTAAGGGTGGCCCGAAGAAGACAATGTCAGCAGCATGCCCATCTTGCCTTTAAATCCAGTGAGACCTATTTTGGAGTTATAACCTTTAGAACTGTAAGATGGTAACTTTGTGTTGCTTTAAGCCACTCAACTCTTTGTAATTTGTAACAGCAGCAATAGAAAACTAGTAACAAGAGTTAATCTTACATCAAGATGTCAGCACGCCTTACAATGATCTAAAATAATTTCATGACTTGGCCAAGTGACTGTTAAAAAAAAATGTACTGTCAGAAAGGACACACTTTGCCAACCAGCTTCCAAACATGAAATGAGACTATTCACATAGGATAATTTGTATCTTCTAGCCCCGAAAATAAACCCTTTGATAATTCAGTTTCAGGGATTTTTCCCTGGGAGTTTCCCAAAGTTTTAAAATCTAAATCAGAGATACATTTCCTTTTTTGATAAAACTCCAGAGAGATCAGCATTATCTCTAGGCTAAATTACAGCCAGTTATCAAGTGAGGAAACCTTGTGAGGAAACCAGAAGGACCACATATGACTTTAGACGTCCAGAAAAGTGAAGAAAAATTATTCTACCAAAATAATTTTAGTGTAAAATGTTATTCTGAAAATGCATCTATTGAGAGAACTATGTATTTAGGTAAAGGCTCAATAAAATACTTACCTATGGAGAGTTACTCTTGATTATTTTAGGTGTTAAACAATAGTTACAGATAATTATAAAATGTTTGGAGCAATAAAATAGATTTGCCTCAAAAATTATGGGTAAACTTGCAGGTTAGTCACATTTGTGTACATGACCTACTTTGATCATATCAGACCAAGAGGCAACAGAAGATATTAGGCCTATTTTTCCCAGTTGATATACTCCACTCAAGATTCCTGCAGCCCTTGAAAAACCCATTACAGCCATGCATCTTTCCCCTTTTCTTCTGTCATAAACCCTGTAAATAGCTAGCCTTGGTTTTCACTGTCTTCCATTCAAGTGTCAAATTTAGGTATTCTGGGTTTCAAGTACCACCTAGTGGACAAAGCAAATCTTTTTACTAGCTGTCCAAACATTCAAAATTCCAAAACGTCAGGACAGCTCTCAGGAAATGATGAGCATCCCACTTCGGTAATTGTTCTGCATGGCCCATGCACATCTAGAGACTTCAAAATGTTAACAAAAGAATTCTCTAATATCAAGGGACACTTTTAAAACTTCAGAAGAAATTAGAGACTATTATAGTAATAGTCTATAGTAAAAAATTAATAGTAAAAATTTTAATATATTAAAAAAACTTAATAGTAAAAATAACCTGTGTAGACAACTCTCAAAATATTTAGGTACATGGTATCTTCTAAAATTAAGAAAAAAATCACTTCAATGGACAGCCAAATTGTCCCAACCACACTCCTAGAACACCTGTGTCAAGCAAATGCTATGTTAAGAG